TATCGTCAACGAAATTGGACAGTATTACTGATATCGAGGATTTTGACAGTAATGATATGACTAAAATATCGTCAACGAAATTGGACAGTATTACTGATATCGCCGATTTAGACAGTACCGATACGACCAAAATATCGTCAACGAAATTGGACAGTATTACTGATATCGCCGATTTAGACAGTACCGATACGACCAAAATATCGTCAACGAAATTGGACAGTATTACTGATATTGCCGATTTAGACAGTACCGATATGACCAACATATCGTCAACGAAATTGGACAGTATTACTGATATCGCGGATTTTAACAGTAATGATACGACCAAGATATTGTCAACGGAATCGGGCAGTATTGCTGATATTGACGATTTAGACAGTAAAGATATGACCATGATGATATCGTCAACGGAATCGCATATATTGGATAAAACTGGAAACGATCACACGCTTGGTTTTCACAATGAAAATGTCGACCAATCACGATCTGTGTCAGAGTCCGTTTCAAGTCGCGCGCCGACAATTTTTGATGGTTTCGATGAATCATCTGGCTGGCAAACAGGAACTGACGACATGGATATCAGTACTTCCGGCGACTCAGACAGTTTTATAAAAACGATATCGCAAAACAGACCATCCAGTGTTAGTATGGTGGAGACGACACTGGTTACTCGTAATGCCATTGTCACCATGGATACCAAACAACTAATTAGAGACAGTAATAAAGTATCAAACTCCTATAAGTCTGACGCGCTGATTCTGTCGATTCTTGTGTCCGTTCTGGTCTTTCTTGTCATCGTTGTCGTTGTATTTGTGTATCTTCTGTTTCAAAAAGACATCATTTCAAAATGGCGACATGAAAGGTGAGAAGTCAACTATCTGAAATACGGGGGTGGCGAGAACAGTGGACAAAAAAAAATATTTTCGTTTTTGTGCACTTGTACATATTTCTGGGTGTACCATTACTGCCAATAGTTTTGTCTAGCTTTTCAAATGTTTCTTTTCACCCCCCCCCTATGATTACAAATGATGTACGCCACAT